CCCCCGCCCCGCACCCTCTTCCAGTCCCTCCGGCTAAAATTCCATACCTCGCCCCGCCCCCAGCTCGTCCTCCGGTCCGGCTAGCCCCGACCTCCATCCCTAGGCCGAGGGCCCCCTCTGCTGTCGGCCGCGGGTAGGGCAGCAGCGAGCTCATGGGGCCAGAGAAGAGGGGAGCCCCGAACAACCAACGCCCCCATCCTTCCCAGTCCAGCCCGGCCCTGAGCGAGGCTGATGCATGACTAGACTTTCAGAGGGATGGACGGGGTACACCCCTTAAGGACTGGGGAAGGCGTCGAGGAGGACGGAGGGGTCCTCCCAGAAGTTCTCTCCCCAAAGCCAGGCCCTGCCTCTTTGCACTGGGCTAAGCAGCCAGAGGGCAGCTAGTTTCCAGATAGGTCCCCAGACTCCGTTCTCCCAGAGATGCGTTACAATTGTAGCTGCTGTTAGCTCATTCCAGGCCCCAGGCAAAGCAGCACCATCCAGCCCTCACACCAGCTTCCAACCCCACCCTGAATGCCCAACCCCCTCCACTCCCAGGCCAAGACCCTCTTTCTCCTGTACCAGTCTCGGGGGGGTTGGCAAGAGGCACAGAGAAGAGTCATCCTATATGGATCTCCCAACTTACCCAACAGAGACACACAGACATGCAATCAGACATACATACACGCAGGTGCACCCACATGCTCACAGGCACATGCACACATAGAGACACTCACAGCTGCACACAGACACAGACACATGGGGAATATGATGGTACCCGACTATCCAAATGAAAAAAAATCCTGGTAACTGAAAAAAATATATTTTTTTTGGTAACTACAAAATTTACATTGCAACTTGCTCTCCTTTTTCTTCCTATCTCTAAATGCCTATGCCCCTTCAAAAGCCTCATTTCTCTCTCCCCCATCCTAGTCCTGCCTTCTCTCCCATCACTTCTTCCTCCTAGTTCGGAATACTTCCCAGAACCCACCATGGCAACAGCTGTGCCCAGGGGCACAGTGATGGTTCAGGATCTCAAGACAAGCAGCTGACAAGGCTGCCCTCTCCCTCCCCAGCACTTTAGCTCTGCTACATCTGTGTACAGAAACTCAGACACACCTGCCCCGACCCACACCAGGTCAGGCCCAGGGTCCCTCCTGACCAGCCAGAAGATGCAATCTGACCTTTGCCAAACTCTTTATTGAACCAAAAATCAACACCAAGCGGACTGCAGAACAGAAAACTCCAAACAGCTGACCCTCCCTTTCTTCTGCCCCTCTCTCCCTGGAACAGCTCTGGATTCAGCACTGGGGAAGGAATCAAAGACTCTCTTCTGGTGGGTAATGAGGGTCAGGTCTCTCTGGGGAAGGAACACTCAGAGCCATCTCCATCTGTAGGACCCAAAGAGTCAGGAGCTGGGCTTCGGGGCTCTGGAGCTGCAGGGGGCTGACCGAGTAGACCGAGAATTCCAGGGGCTGCAGGGGACAGGGCAGGAGTTGGGGGAAGGATCTCCTGGCCTGGGGACCTCAGTGAGGCTTGGAGCTGACGGCTCATGGACACCAGGGATTCAAGATGTTGGAGCAGGGCCTGGTGGGGACAGGAGGCTCTGTGGAGGCGCCGGCCATGGCCAGATGGTACTGCTGAATAGGGGTGCCTGGATTGGCACCGGCCTGGCTTGGGGGGCCACTGCCCTCGCCCAGGACTCTGCCAGGTCTCAGGCTCTTCCCACAGTCTCCCCCTGCCTCTGGGTGGCCTCTCCCAAGCACAAATTCCCCTTGGAGCCAGGCTGCTATTGCCCTGGTTCTGCTGCAGAGTATCCCTTGGGGGATGGGACCCCTTTGGGGCCACATCGGGACTCCTGTGCTTGGACTGGGAGCATCTCCTCTCCACTTTCCTGCTGAAGGAGACCATCTTTTGAACCTTCTGCCACAGAGGTCTGGACTCTGCTGTGTCTGGAAGCCCTGCCTTGGGGAGCAGCACAGCCAGCACCAGGCTTGAGTGAGCAGCTTCCAGGCCTGGGGAAAGAGGAAGCAGAGAGACTCAAGACCTGGTAGGAGAGAACACACCATCCCTAGAAGCTGCATTGTGAGTGCAGCAGTAGGTCTATGGTTAGGTGCCAGGAAGAGCTTTCCAGCAGCAAGATGGGGGTCCAGTGAGGAGGAGGCTGAGCCCGTCTCAGGAGAGTCACTTTCAGCACGGGAAAGGGCTCACCTGCCTGAGAGTGGGGCAATGAATGGTTTGACCTCAAGACTGTATGGATTCAGAATCTACCACACTGTCACCAGGAAAGGCAGCCCAGAAAGGCCAAGTGCTCTGCCTGGGAATGGGTACAGCGTACCCATTGACACCCCACCCCCACCCGAGGTGCTTTACTGGAGCCATGCCCTGGAGATACCCTCCTGGGCACAAAGGCCAACCTTGGCCTAGGGTAGTGGTGGTGAAAACATCCCTCCTTCCAGTCTTAGGTGATGTTTTGGTGGTGAAAACATCCTTCCTTCCTGTCCTTAGACAATGCTTTCAGTCGATTGTTTGTGGGTCCTGCCTCTGTCCCGCTGTGTCTGCATGAAAGTGGCTGTCCCATGAGTTTCTATTCAGGACGCCTAGTTGAAGGGTCAGTATGCGTTGTGTTCAAGAGCCCTGTTTCTGCAGCCAGGCTGCCTGGGTGTGAAGCCTGGCTCTGCTCCTGACTGGCTGAGTGACTCTGGACAAGTCATTTGCTTTCTCCCTACCTCAGTTTCCTCATGTGTGAAATCAAGAAACTGACAGTTACCGTTCTGATGGGGTTACTTTGGTCCCAGATGAGGGGAGGCAGGGAACGCATGGGCATCAGGGCACTCACCGGGGCCTCCCAGAGGGCGCAGTCTGGTGGGCAGGGGCTGAAAGGCAGGCAAGGGCAGCAGGACCATCCCCACGTGTTCCACGGCTGCCAGGCCATGGCGCTGCTTATTGTTGAGGTAGGAGTAGAGCAGGCGGCAGTTCTGGGTGTCCCGAGCCCCGTGTGGGCACAGCCTGACCACACAGATGTCCTGTAGTTGAAGGAAGGGGAGTAGCTTTTGCAGCTGCCATCTTTTCCCCCTGAGAACACCCCTGGTCTCATCCAAGCCCCTGAGAACCCTGTGAGGATGTGTGTCCCCACTTTCCAGGGGAGGAACCAGAGAGACTTGCCCAGGGTCACAGAGCGTCTACAGTTATAGTGGGAACTAGACCCAGACACCCCGAACCAGGCCCCTGCCCTAGAGGAGGAGAGAGGGGAAGCACAGGGCTAAAGGTCCCGGGCCAGAAGGCAAGGGGGTGCCCAAGGATGGCAGTTACCTTGGCCTCGGCTGGGCAGATGTTGGCCAAAAGATCCCAGACAGTATTGGAGGGAATGCAGCCTGCTGAACGGATCACTTCGGGCAGGGCCTGGGGGCAGGTAGGATGGCCAGTCAGCCCCCTAGCTTCCCACCCACTTAGGGTGCACTCAACACCAGCCACCACGAAGCCACAGCCTTCAGTGAAGAGGACGGACAGGCAGTACACCAGGACCCCAAGAAGGTCAGTGACTGCCCAGGAAGCCCCGATTGCCCCTGGAGGCCTACAGCCTATCCTGGCCAGGCTCCTACAGCTCCTCAGAAGCCCCTTCCTCCCTTCTTGAACCTCCCACCCACATCCAGTGGTTCAGCTGATCATTCAGTCACTCAACAATCACTCCTAAAGCTCTCCCCTGGATCAGGGAGGCACCAGACTGACTCCTCTCCCAGGGCCCTCTTGCATTATGCCTTGGGTTACAGGGAGTCCTTTGACCCATGTGTGTGTGTGCAGGAGTGGGGCTGGCGTCTCATTTGCCCCATGCCTAGTACAGTGCCAGGCACAGAGAGGGTCCCAATGCCTTGTTTTAGAATGAGGGAGAGAAAGAAGAAAGAAAAGGAAAGGAAAGGAAAGGAAAGGAAAGGAAAGGAAAGGAAAGAAAAGAAAAGAAAAGAAAAGAAAAGAAAAGAAAAGAAAAGAAAAGAAAAAAGAAAGGGGTTGTGGGTAGCTGACCGGGCTGGCCAGGGTGGGAGGGAGACCCTGGAGAGCAGGGCTGGGGTACCATGAGGAGCCGACAGCTGTTTCCAGAGACCAGCTGGGCCTTGGCCCTGAACCGCTTGATGGAGAACATGTCCAGCGCTCCCTCCCAGGGCGGCTGGCTGGGCAGGGCCTTTGTGGGCCCGGCAGGCATCTGGAGCCTAGAGAGAGGGACAGAGAGACAGGGCCAGGCAGAGCAGGTTATCAGGACCTTCCTCAGCATCTCCCTACTTTTCAGAGAAGGTCCTGTGTTCCCAGTGTGTATGCTGGAACACCAGTCCAAGCACGGCCTGGTGAGGGGGAACCGGCAGACTGCAGCGACTGGTTCCAATGTACCGATGAGGAAACTGAGCCCCACAGCGGAAGCAGGATTTGCCCAAGGCCATAGACAAAGAAAAGTTCACGCCGTGTCTGCCTCCCCAGCAGGTGGCCTCCCCCACTGACCCTCTCCCACCCCCCGCCCCACACCTGTCCTGGAGCTGTGTGGGAGGCTTCTCCCTGGTTTGGGGCATCGCTGGAGAGGACACCAGGGTTGGGCTTGGGGTTCTCTGGAAGACACTGTCCCCTATCCTCCCAGTGGCTTTGAAGGAGGCTGGCAGTTCACACGAGGGCTTCCAGTCTACAAAGAACAGAGGCAGAAGCTGAAACAGGAACAGGCAGCTAGATGAAGCCAGGCCAGGGCTTTAGAACCAGGCTTTGACCCAGGTTCTCTTCGAGGTGACCTGGGACACAGATATGCCCACCCTGCCACCTTCTCCCCAGGCCATGAATCCCTGCTGCTGCTGAGCCCCACACTCAGCCCCAGCCTGCCCACCACCCCTGCACCCATCCCGCGCCCCCGCCCCAACCCATGCAGATGCGGCAGCTGGGGTCCAGGAAATGGTGCTCATGCTGCTCCGTGGTGTCCTCGTACTGCTCCGTGGTGTCCTTTGACGTGGCAGGCAGGGCCAGTGGGCTACTGTCTACGGACACCATGGGTCCCTAGGAGGCACAGCGGGAGAGAAGGGTGGGCTGGGAAGGCGCTAAGGAAGTCAGCAGCTCTCCAGGACCAGGGAGCCTCAGGGATAGGGTTTCATTTTTCCAAATAAGACGTTCTTTTACCATAAAGGTACTAAGAACTTGTTAAAGAAAATATAGAAAATTCGAAAATTACCAAAAAAAATAAAAATCACCTCTTGCCCCACTCGTCAATGACAGTAATTGGTATTCTGGGTATTCCTTGTAACAGTTTTTCTATACCCAGGGCTTTGGGGGTTCTTTGACTAAAATAGCTGGGATCAAATATTCAACCTGTATTCTCACCGTGCCACGAATGATCGCACAGGCGCCTGCCACGCACACACGGACCATACACACCGTGGACCGTCGTGTACACATCTCCTCTATCGCTGGATGGTGGGATCATTCCCAGATCCTCACCATTGCTAACAGTACTGAGGACATCCTTATGCAGAAAGTATTTTCCTAAACTTTCAACCATGTCCTCAGGACAAGGTTTTAGAAGCAGAGGACAGAATCAGGGAGAATAAACATTTTAAAGGGCTTTCGATGCCCACTGCCGAATCACCTTTGTCCCTCATAATAGAAATGGCTTTTTAAAAAAAACATTGCTTTGGGGGCACCTGGGTGGCTCAGTCACTTCAGCGGCCAACTTCAGCTCAGGTCATGATCTCATGGTTGGTGGGTTCGAGCCCCCCATCTGAGCTGTCTGTGCTGACAGCTCAGAGCCTGGAGCCTGCTTCAGATTCTCTCTCTCTCTCTCTCTCTCTCTCTCTCTCTGCCCTCTCCCTGCTCACTCACTGTCTCTCAAAAAAATGAAAACATTAAAAAAAAAATTTTTTAAAGCACAAATATTGCTTTAGGAAGATTTTTAAAGATTTTTTAAAACTCTATTCTTGCCTTATAAACCACCTCCAGAGTTGCACCAAGGCACAGGCTTTGGAGTCGGGCAGCTTCAGATCACAGCCCCCCGTGACCAACTAGAGTGACCCCGTGACCAACTAGAGTGACCCCTTGACCAACTAAGTGACCCTGGGCAAAGGGCTTCAGGGTCCTCATCCAGGAAACTGGCATCACCTACCCTGTGGGTCACTGTGAGATCTGAATGAGGCTCTGTTTGTAAAACGGGCACTTAGCAGGTGCTCGATAAGGAGTAAGATGTGATTCTGTGTTATTCTCCCCACCCCTACTCTGCCTCTGTCTCCCTAGCGAGCACTTCTTTCTGGGTCTTCAGTTCCTACCTCTATGCTTGGGTTCAATTTACTTAGAAAGCACAGGCTGATTTGGGTTGGGGACTCCTTCCTGCACAGGCCGCAGTTCTGGAGGCTGGCCTGGTTATCGGTTTGCAGCGGGTGGGGGAGCGGGAGTTTTCATCTGTCATGTTCACTGCCATTCCCCCCATGAACAAGGCTCAAGGGGCCTGCGCTGTCCATCCTGGACACGTAGCTGATTAGAGTCGGGTGAACATCTGACCCACCGAACACCCAAGCAGAGCCACAGGGGCCTCCCGAGAGTGACTGAACTAAGCCAGGGGGGCGTTCTGATCGTCTGTGGGAGCTAAGCTGATGAGTTCACCGATTTCAGGGCTGCCGAGCCACCATGTCGGGCCCCATGCAAGATGGAGGGGCAGAAGGGAGGAAGGACAGGATGGTCACGAGGACGGAGCGGATCCCCAGTGACAAGAGGGGCTCCAGATGGGTCTCTGCCTGCCCGGAGCACTGCTAAGCCCTGCCACGCCACCGGAGTGAGGAGGGCTCTGTCCTCCGAGAACAGTCCAAGAACAGCCACTGCCTCAGGGCAGCCCTCCTGTTTCCCAACCAGAGACCTGGTGGGAATGGCTGAAGTTGGGAGAAGCTGCAGTGATAAGACTTAACCACCACTCGCGTGGGGCGCCCTGGCATTAGGCCGGAAGGAGGGGACCGGCGCCGAGAAGGCCCGGACAGGCCATGCCAACAGGTCAGTTCCACCCCGCGGAACTGCGGTAGCGACCATTGCCTCGCTCATCAAGCGGACCCTGGGCCTCACGGTCATCAGGTGACTTGCTCAAGGCCACCCAGCTGCTGAGGTGAGCAGTGGGACCCTGGGCACGAGCCCCATCAGTGCCAGGTCAGGCTGTCGCTTACCATCAGATCCTCCAGGGTCAGCGTCTGGTCCCCGTCCCGCGGGATCTCGACTTCACCCTTGTGGGTCAGTTTGAACGCCGGGAGGCTGCACAGCTTCTTCTGTTGCTGCTCAATGATCTCCAGGCCCTGGTGGGGGCCAAGCCGCCCAAACTCAGCCAGGCCAGGAGGTCTCAGGCCCCCAAGATATTCATACTCCTCTCACATGGCCCCTCTTCTGTGGGTCCCCTTCCTCTCCCTCACAGTTCTGCTTCCACTATCCCCCTTCCCTAACAAGCCCTCTACCCTCAGCCCTACTGCTCCCATATTCCACTCAGCCACCCTCCAAACTCAAGCCCTGCCTCCTCCAGCAAGCCTTCCTGAACTTCACCTCCTCCTACAAGTCAGTTCTGCCTCCCACCGGACCCCAGCTTCTGTCCTGGGAAGAATACAGTGCAGTCCAAGAGTGCAGGCTCTGAAGCACCAGCTGGGTCGTTACTAGAAACCCTCAAGGCAATCTGGTGCTGGGCAAGCACTTCACTGCTCTGAGCCTCGACTTCTCTGTTTTCTAGGAATTAAATTAAGAGCATTAGGTTAAACAGTGTATGCAGAATGCTCGGCTGGAGCCAAGCTCACAGTAAATGCTGCCTGTCATTCTTATGGCTGATCAATACCATGCTATCTGAAATGTTTCCTGGAAGCCTGGAGGAGGTCTCATCCTCCCTGGCAGGGCTGGCTTCATGGGCGAGGGCTCCATGCTGTTGCACGCGGTGCTGCACTTCATTGGGGTCCCATATGTCATGCGGCCACCATCTTGAAATTCTTAATAGTTGTTGAGCAAAAGGCCACATGCTTTTGTTTTGGACTGCACCCTATAAGTTACGTAGCTGTTCTGCTCCTGGTCCCCCACAGGCTCCTGCACAAAAGCTCAGCCTACAGTGGACAGAGTCACCTAGTGGATTCTAGGTGAATCTAATCAGCCCAGTGTCTTCCAGAACAGGGGCCTCAGCACCCCACTCCACCCCACTGGCCTACTCCCTAGATCAGCCCCCTCTCTTTCATGGGCCACCAGCAAGCATTGTGCAAACATTCCCCAAAGCCGACTCAGTGCCCACACCTTCCAGATCCCTGAGCAGCCCCCAGGAAGGGGGAGAGACACAGACGCAAGGTATACGGGGACATGACTGTGAAGCGTGAGGGCTGTGGGGTCCCTCGCCCAGCCTGAGGCACCAAGAAGACTTCCAGCCTTTTTGAGGGCTTCTGAGGCTGAGATGGAAACAGAGGAACCCCAAGGGGTCTACCCCATCTATGGTGGATGACAATCCTGGATTCCAGACTTCAGACCATCATCCCCAGTACCCTCACCCCTGCCCCCAGCTTCACAGAAAAGCAAGTGGAAGATGACACCTCTCAGGGTGTCACCTCTCTCAAAGCTTTCCACCCCAACCCCTTTCCATTTCTGCCTCTTTTTTTTTTTTTTTTTTGGTGGACAGAGTCTCTTTGACTTTCTCCCTGCTGCCCGCTCTTTCTTTCCGCTTCCTCCTTTCTGTTTCTGTCTGTCTCGTGCTCCCCGTATCTCATTCACTGTCCACCTCCTCACTGTCTCTGTCCTGCTACATCCTCTCTCCGTGTCCCTCCCACATCACCTACCCTGACTTGACCCAGCGGCTCACCCTTTTCTCCTCCTGGTCCCGCCAGCGGGCCAGCTCTTGGGGGGCCAGCTGGGTTGAGCTCATCCGCACCAGGCCGTGGGGGGTGACATCGCCCTGAAGCACTTTGAGAAACAGGTCCTGCAGGGGCAGGTGGGGGGGGGGGGCTGCACC